CAAGAAGGGAGAGGGAGAGAGAGAGAAGAAAAGACCTTGAGGTGATGCTTGCATGGATGAATGAGAAATTCCATGGAGAACCTATGGGCAATGATGAGGTGGCATGATGGAGTCAACTCTTCACCTTGGGCTTGTTTTGGGCCTGCCGAGATTTTGGAATGGAAGGAGAAAAATTTGGGCTTTAATGTCCTAAGCCCATGTAGATGTTAAGTTGGATGGTTGTTAGTCCAAATCACTTTAAATGTGGTTTTATGACTTGTTAGGGTCAAATTAGGTTAATTATGGTTCATAGTCATTAATTTATTTCATTCTAGGTTCTACCTAGCCCAAAATATTGAAATAAATGAATGTGGGTCCAATTAGAGCCCAATTAGGGTTCTAAGTCCATGATAGTCTTATTGGAGCTTATTGGTCCATTTGGATCCAATAAGGAAGTTCTAGTCCAAAATGGACTTAACTAGAATTTCTAGGGTTTTCCAATTGTTTGATGACTATTTGTAGTATTTGTAATATGTATTTGATTGAAGTTTTTGATTCACATTAGCTTGAATGTATGGATTACATGACACAAAATTTCCAGTTGTGACATCATCCCCCCGTTAGAGGGAATTTCGTCCCGAAATTCTGTTTGAAAGCTAGATATTGGGAAAACTAGAATAGGTGAGGGTACTTTTGCTGCATTAGGTCTTCGCGTTCCCAAGTGAATTCTGGCCCACGCTTTGCGTTCCACCGTACTTTCACGATCGGGATGCGACTCTGCTTAGTACGCTTTACCTCCCTGTCTATGATTTCGATTGGTTCTTCAACGAACAGGAGTTTCTCATTGATTTCGATTTCGTCAAGAGGGGTGACGAGTGTTTCATCTGAGAGGCACTTCTTCAGATTAGATACGTGAAACACGGGGTGTACACCATTTAGCTCTGCGGGTAGTTGCAGTCTGTATGCTACCGGACCAATTCGAGCGATGATTTCGAAAGGTCCAATGTATCGCGGGTTCAGCTTTCCCCGTTTTCCGAAACGTATAACCCCTTTCCAGGGCAGACTTTTAACAGTACTCGATCACCGACCTGAAATTCTAAGGGCTTTCGTCGTTTGTCAGCGTAGCTCTTTTGTCGGTCACGCGATGCTTGCAATCGAGCTCTGATTTGAACGATCTTTTCCGTGGTTTCACGGATGATCTCCGGTCCCGTTAGTGTTTTGTTCGACGCATGCATTTTTGCTAGCTGGGTGTCACCTACTTCAGCCCAACATAACGGTGATCTACATTTACGCCCGTAAAGTGCTTCGAAAGGAGCCACCTTGATGCTCGAGTGGTAACTATTGTTGTATGAGAACTCGATTAAGGGTAGGTGGGTATCCCAAGACTTTCCAAAGTCTATCACGCATGCACGGAGCATATCTTCGAGTGTTTGGATAGTTCGCTCACTTTGACCATCCGTTTGAGGATGATAAGCGGTGCTCATATCGAGGGTTGTTCCCATCGCCTTATGGAGTGATTGCCAAAATTAGGACGTAAACCTACTGTCCCTATCCGAGATAATAGATTTGGCACTCCATGGAGTCTCACGATTTCTCGTAGGTACAACTGTGTCAGTCTCTCCATCTTGTAAGATTCTTTGATTGGCAGGAAATGGGCAGATTTCGTCAGTCTATCGATGATTACCCATATGGTATCCAGTCCGTCCGACGTCTTGGGTAGTTTGGTGACGAAATCCATAGAAATCCCCTCCCATTTCCACTCGGGAATTTCCGGTTGCTGCAACAATCCTGAAGGTTTCTGGTATTCCACCTTTACTTTGGCGCATGTAAGGCACTTGCTGACGTAGGTCGCGATTTCCGCCTTCATGTTAGGCCACCAATAGTGTTGTTTAATATCCAAATACATCTTATCAGAACCGGGGTGAATGGAGTATCGCGTCTTGTGGGCTTCCTTCATGACAACATCTCTAAGCCCTCCAAGTTTAGGGACCCAAATACGGTTCATGAAGTAGTATACCCCATTCTCCCTTGTTTCTAGGTTCTTTTCCATCCCGCGCAATGCCTCGCTAGCTCTATTTTCCATTCTCATGGCCTCTGACTGGACCGACGCGATTTGAGTGGCCAGATGAGATTGAATGGTGATCGAGAGAGTTTTCGTACGGCGGTTAGAGTACTCCTTCCGACTTAATGCATCAGCTACTACGTTGGCCTTGCCTGGGTGGTACTTAATCTCGCACTCATAGTCGTTTAGCAACTCAACCCATCTTCGTTGCCTCATGTTTAACTCCTTTTGGTTTAAGATGTGTTGGAGACTCTTGTGATCCGTGAAGATGGTGCACTTTGTACCGTAAAGGTAATGCCTCCAAATTTTTAGGGCAAAGACTACAGCTCCCAACTCTAGG